TTTTTGCTCTCTCTCTCTCTCTCTCTCTCTCTCTCTCTCTCTCTCTCTCTCTCTCTATATATATATATACACTGTATATAATAATAATAATTTAAAGCATAGACACTCAATTTATGAAATTGTTTTGACCAACAAAAGTGGTTGTATAAGATTATGCTGTATAAAGCAGCAACATACAATAATTTTTTTTTATAAGCAAGCAAGAGCAAGAGATAAAGAGACTATCAATGTGACAACTTGCCCCAACGTGAAAACTGACCTTGAGAACAGCCTAGCTTCATTACTGAGTGTATTTCAGCGTGGCTTTTATGTTTGGCAGCTTGTTTATCCCAAAAAAACCTTATGATGATATTGTAATTATAATTTTGATTAAATGTCCTAATTTTAGAGCTTAGCGTTTGAAAACAGATAACCACTGCTAGAGAAAAGCATGTGTCCAATTGATTTTTACTAAATATTATGACTTATACACTCTTAAAAATGCTGGGTTAAATACAACCCAGTGCTGGGTAAAATTGGGACAAACCCAGCAATTGGTCTGTTTTGACCCAGCGGTTGGGTTAAATGTTTAACCCAACCTTCTGGCTAGTAACCCAACCGCTGGGTCAAAACAACCCAATTGCTGGGTTTGTCCTGATTTTACCCAGCACTGGGTTGTATTTAACCCAGCATTTTTTAGAGTGTATCATTATATAAAGCCTTTACGACAACTTGCCCTGGTCTGTGGTACTTAGAAGAAGAACTGTGACGTTGAATGTAATACGTTAATGGCGTTTCCACACCTTGGCACATTGTCCTAGAATTTTTATTTATTTATTTATTTTTCTTATCTATTATTTCTTATAGTCATGTGTATCCAGCTGTAAGGATTCTCTCTCTGGCCAGTTAGGTTTCAGGATTTGGCTGAAGAGTTGTCCGACAGAGAGTCACAATAGGTAAAGTGAACATCTGAATTTCTTAACTTACAATAGATTCTTTTCCCCTTCATAATAAAAAAGAAACTGCCATTATTATTAGCTTGATCACAGTGTATTTGTTTGTAGAGTGTGTATAAATCTTGTATGTTATCTGGGACATCTAGTGTCAGGATGAGTAGTTGCACACACTCAAAAACCTTCATATGCGTGACGTTTCATCAGGTATGCATACAAAAACAGCTAAATTATATAATACCTTTTTATAATTTATTTATCATTTATATAATTTAAATTATATAGATAAATGTAATAATTAAAATTGTGACAAAATATAGCTACTTCAGTAAATTATTGTGAAAGTAATATACTGTGTATAAATAGAATATTTTTAAGACAAAAAGATGTATTGCATTTCATTATGTTTAGTAATAAAGCGTATTTACGCTATGTAATTTATACCACCTGCTAAACATATTGCCTGTAAACTGTCACTCCGTATAAACATATTGGACAAAATGATCACACTATTAGACACTATTGCTCACTGTGGCTGACTTAAACTGCATGTCTTGAAATGAAATCAAGAGTATGTGAATTCCTCATATCTTTGTTTATTCATAATACTGCAGAGTACATTAGACAGTGGCAAATATAAATATACCATTAGCATTCTAGAGAGATAGAGATTTATGAGAAAAGTATTTCAAGGCTACATGGCATTAGAATTAGAGATTTGCAATATTATTTTGGATAAAGATAAATTACTATTTTAATTTTGGGTTGGGCATATTCAGTTTGAGTGCACTGTACAGAAAGACGAGTACATCATTTTCAAAAAATAACATCAGTATATTACAATTCCATTTAACTTTTGTTTCAAAACAATACAGTATGGGTTAACAGGTTGTTCAGGGTGGTTGCAAGCCGCTGCTACATTGTTTTAAGTGAGACAGACAACTAGATGAATAGATAGACAACTATGGACAGCAGTTGTTAGGGCAATGACAGGTAAAATAGACAAAGAACATAGAAAGATAGGTAAACGAGAAGTTGTGGAAAAGGTCACATGAGGTAGAATCACTCATAACTGTTTAACACTTCTGACATCTTTTTGGCCACATCTTTCATTTTCTCTTCCCACTCGATGCGCAGGGCTTCCTCATCATCCCCGACGATGGCAGCGTAACTCATCAGAGCAATGAGGCCGATGCAGAACAGGTATGTGAGTCGAGTGCAGAGGTTTTCCATGACACGCTGGTCGCCCTGTGAATGTTTCATGTAGACCTCTAGGATGGACTGACTGAAGAGCTTCGATTCGCCCATCACACCGCCGTACAGCGTGTACAAGTTCTGGTCACACTGATTGATCACAAAGCTCATTTCAAATTCTTTCTTGCGCTGTTCGTGTGCTGCCGATGCCTCCACAGTGTCCATGAATTTGGAGAACTGACTCCGAATGTTTTCTTCTACACAACAGTACAGGCCATCCACAGTCTCCTTCCTGATCTGAAGCAATACATTCTGGTTCTGCTGTGAGATTTCATCCAGGGCTCGAGTCACGCTGCCGAACTCACGCTTGAGTTTCTGAACGTCTTCGTCGTCCACATGATGTAGAACCAGCCGGATGAGAGAACCAGCCATGCCGAAGATGGGATTGACCACTGTTGCTGCAGACGAGATGGTGGCCACGCATTCCAGAACCTTCACTAGACCCCTCTTCAGCTTGTCTTGATCTTCTAAGGTCTCATTTTCAGCCATTGTGTCCAGAGGAAGAGCCCTTCCCAGTGATGTTTACCTGAAGAAGAAACTGAAGATACAAAGGCACACAATATTATCACCTAAAATGCGGTAATTTATTCATTAATTTTACGATTTTTAGGCGGTTGGCATCTCTTGTGCTGCACTCAGTAGGTGGTGTTTCATTCTGACATGCCAAGTGTTTTTGAACAAATCGATTGAATGTATGATTCTATGTCTCACTCATAAAGACAGTCGCTTGTTTAGTTCCAGAATAAATCATTGTTTTTTAACGAATCGTTTGGCGGAATGATTCAGTGATTCGCTCAAAAAATTCACGTTTCGTTTGTAAATTAGCATTTTTGAATGAATCATTTAAGTGACTCATTCAATGTCTCACTGTTGAGGATGGTCATTTGTTTCCTTTTTGAATTAATCCGCATTTTGAATGAATCGGTTGACTGAATGATTCACTTGTTACTTGTCGCCACCTACTGACGTGTCTATATAACTTGCAGAATGAGTCACTGAAAATTTCCCGCCACTTATGCAAAGACTGACAGCCTGTCCGGAACACACAAGTGTAGAACTTTTGGACTTCGTATGGACCACTTTTAACTTTTTTTCCTTTTTTGAGAATGGATGTGGAAAGATCTGAAGAATTCTTAAATTCTTGGTCTTTGTGTTCCACAGAAAAATAAATACCAACCCCAGAAACAGTAATGCATATTGGAATGACACAAAGGTCAGAAAATAATGGCAAATGTTTTTATTTTATTTATTTATTATTTTCATTGAATTGTAATTTAATTGAAATGTTCTTTTAATATCACCTTTAATTTGCTAAAATTAGTTCCTACTTTGAAATGACTTCAAAAGGCAATTTGTTTTCTTGTGATGTTGCTTCTGTATTTTCAAGATCTGAACTGAGATGAAGTATAATTCAATGATATACACTCATTTAAAGTATAGATCATGAGTTGTATAATCCATGGCCATAGCTGAACAATTCTGACCTAAATCATTAAAAACAACAACAACAAAACAGTTCAAAATTTAAATGGTGAAATTTTGAACTGTGCATTTTTTTTGTTGTTGTTGTTATTTGTTGTTGTTGTGTTGTATAAATGCACATGAATCATAATCATGCTTATATCTACAAAACATATTGATGTTAAATACTGAAAACGGTTTACAAAAATGACCAGCTTCAGACCTTAACTTGAATATCAAAAAGATCTTACATCACTTTACAGGCTATGACTAAACAACACTTTATTGTGAGATTTAGGACTGAAGTCAATATATATATTTTTTGAATATCTGTATTTCATGTCAATTTTTCTCATACAAAGCCTTCTCATTTTACAGAGTGCTGGATGTTTGTACGCAGCTTTGGGATCAAGACAGAACATTTACAACTTTATCAAGCCAAAAAAACATCAATACAACATCTCCCTGTGTTTTCTCAAGCAATGTGAGTATTTGAAAGGGTCTTCATCCCATCTAGAGTAGATGACTTCAGTCAGATGCTGTCTGTCTGTTATAGCTCCCCCTAGATGCTGCATCATATTTCATTGTTCATGCTGAGAATCATATCCTCTTTCTGACATTCTCAAATTTTAACAAACAATGCCTAAAAAAATCTGCATTATCTAGTTGCCTTACCCTTTCAGTTTGCCACCTCCCTCGCGCGTCTTCCCAGCAGCCACTGCAGGATGTGCAGTTTCATCTGAGCTCAGTGTGGAGGGGTGTACAGTGATGGACTATACCATTATCGTACAGGGTTCTGGTAAATGAAACAGATTTGCTCATTCATTGACCTTCAAATTTTCTTGATGCAATCAATTTGCTTATTAATGAAATGTCATGAATATGGATATACTGTTCAATGGAACCTATCTATCTATCTAGCTATCTATCTATCTATCTATCTATCTGTCTGTCTGTCTGTCTGTCTGTCTGTCTGTCTGTCTGTCTGTCTGTCTGTCTGTCTGTCTGTCTGCCTGACTGTCTGTCTGTCTGTCTGTCTGTCTGTCTGTCTGTCTGTCTGTCTGCCTGTCTGTCTGTCTGTCTGTCTGTCTGTCTATCAAATCTTTCTATCCATTCATCCATCCACCTAAGTGTAGGTGCTGCCCGGGATGCTGCAGGACTCCAGTTGTCATGTGATCATTCACACTGTGAAAGGATGTAGACCTGCTTTAGACGTTACAGTGGCGTTGATGGTAATGTATGTTCCTCTAAAGATGGAGTAATGCAAAATGTATATAGCCGGTTCCTAAAACTTATAGTTCCTGTTTTCTTACTTGTGCACCAAAACACAGACATGATGAGGAAGTGGTTAGCAGCACTACGACACAGACTGCATAGACAGAGTACTGTCTTCCTTTTCCTATTATTTTGATAGACAACACTGTATAAGAGCAGTTTGTCTGTCTGTCTGTCTGTCTGTCTGTCTGTCTGTCTGTCTGTCTGTCTGTCTGCCTGTCTGTCTGCCTGCCTGTCTGTCTGTCTGTCTGTCTGTCTATCCAGACATCAAATCTATCCATTCATCCATCCACCTAAGTGTAGGTGCTGCCCGGGATGCTGCAGGACTCCAGTTGTCATGTGATCATTCACACTGTGAAAGGATGTAGACCTGCTTTAGACGTTACAGTGGCGTTGATGGTAATGTATGTTCCTCTAAAGATGGAGTAATGCAAAATGTATATAGCCGGTTCCTAAAACTTATAGTTCCTGTTTTCTTACTTGTGCACCAAAACACAGACATGATGAGGAAGTGGTTAGCAGCACTACGACACAGACTGCATAGACAGAGTACTGTCTTCCTTTTCCTATTATTTTGATAGACAACACTGTATAAGAGCAGTTTGTCAAGTAGGACTCCTGATTCTCTGCTGCTATTGTTCGAAAATGATTCTCTCCATATTGAATAAGATTACTCATAAAATTAATCAAATCAAGTGTAAATGGCTGTTCCAAAGTGGAGACCCTGCAATCAGATGACTGTAAAGACACAGACAAGGACTGAAAAAGTAAGAGATCAAAATTATTTAGTTTTAGCTGGTTGCCAATGCAGAACTTCTCATTTTCATTTAATTTAAGTTGAAGTACTAATATAATAACTCAAACTAAATGAACTAAAAGTAATATGTGACCATGGACCACAAAACAAGTCATAAGGGTCAAGTTTTTGAAATTGAGATTTATACACAACATCTTAAAAACAAACATCTGAAATGTGAATAAATAAGATTTACATTGATGTATGGTTTGTTAGGATAGGATAATATCTGGCTGAGATACAACTATTTGAAAATCTGGAATCTGAGGGTGCAAAAAAAAATCAAAATATTGAGAAAATCGCCTTTAAAGTTGCCCAAATTAAGTTCTTAGCAATGCATATTACTAATCAAAAATTAAGTTTTTATATATTTACTGTAGGAAATGTACAAAATATCTTCATGGAACATGATCATTACTTAATGTCCTAATGATTTTTAATTGAGATTTATACACAACATCTTAAAAACAAACATCTGAAATGTGAATAAATAAGATTTACATTGATGTATGGTTTGTTAGGATAGGATAATATCTGGCTGAGATACAACTATTTGAAAATCTGGAATCTGAGGGTGCAAAAAAAAATCAAAATATTGAGAAAATCGCCTTTAAAGTTGCCCAAATTAAGTTCTTAGCAATGCATATTACTAATCAAAAATTAAGTTTTTATATATTTACTGTAGGAAATGTACAAAATATCTTCATGGAACATGATCATTACTTAATGTCCTAATGATTTTTGGCATAAAAGAAAAATCTATAAGTTTGACCCATACAATGTATTTTTGGCTATTGCTACAAATATACCCCAGAGACTTAAGACTGGTCTTGTGCTCCAGGGTCACATATATAAAACATACTATATAAAATATTACTATATAAGTACTATTATAGAATATAAATAGTTTTATGTACATAATGATAAAAACACAACAAAATGACTAAAACTGTTACTAAAATTTAAGTAATAACAAGAAATATAAAAATGAAATAAAATTCTAAATATAAAACTACGCTCTAAAAAATCCTTCAAAATAGTGTACAATGTACTGTATTCATATGAAGGAATTTTCTGTATTGATTTTTTTAACAAGAGGTGTTTTACCTGTATTTTGAATTTTACACTACACTGCATTGTGTTAATCAAAATGTCTGTAAAATTAATAGAAAATGTCCTGGCATAAAATAATATCAATGATATATGTGTGATATATTTGTGCATGTTTCATTATTTCCCTTCACTAATACCTTAATCGTATAAACTAGTGGCTGAGGGATATGAATTTAGGTAGTCATTTCTGTTTGATTACTATGATCAGAAACTGTGTTAGAGTATACTTTAGTATGATCTGGTGTACCACCGTGGTTTATGCATGCCTGTAGCCACAAGATGTCACTTCAGCTCATAATTAATGCTGTGGTGTTCATAGTAAATAAATATACTTTCATTGATCAGCATGCTTTCAGATATGTGTGATGAGGACCAATGGGGTCAGTGAAAATCAGGTTGTCCTGGTTTGTCCTTTTAACACTTTCAGTTAACAAAGCTTGTTTTCTGCCTGTATAATTGGTTTCATTAATAACATGGCAGATTGGGTTTTATTTTGTAGAAGCGCTTGATTGACATGGCAGATTTTTGGAGGAGGAGGTGAATTGAATTACTTAAGTCAAATTCCTTGTTGGTTTTGTATTTCCCAAAACAGATATTTAATATAAAGTTTACTGCAATGTCCTCCATGCTGAGATCACATGA